ATTATTAATATGGATATTGAAAATTTAGAAATAGACATGGAAAGAAAAATAAGCAAAGATGTTGAGAGGCAATCACAGATCACAGTTGCTATGACTGAGCTTTAGAATTAGATCTCAGCTTCTCAAAACCAGGATGGAAAGGTATTAATAACTGTGCAGAAACTTAACTCTCACTTGGCACAAAGAAATATGCTAAATATTCACAGAAAAGAAGTATTTCCTCCTGCCTTGTGAACTAAATTTTGAAGCAAAAATGTCCCATGGAACTTACATATTGGACTTAAGGTGAACATTTCCAGTATAAACTCATGAAAGCATTTTCTTATGTTTGTTTCCTACAGTAAATCCTCAATGTAAGTAAAAGGTATAAGGTTTAAATATAACTCAGTGAGTGTTTTCTCAGATTAGTTTTAATGAAAGTAGTGTCAGAGTAGTTTAAGAATCTGGGGTTTTGGTAATTTTAAACATAGTCCAACTACATAGAGAAAAATAAGAACAGATGTCTCTTGATCCCTGACTTTAATTGCATCAGCTGGGTTTTGTGAATGCTAGGTAAGAGTTTTCATGGAAATAGCAAAAAATGAAATTGGCTTCAAGATGCTGACTTCGAGTAAATACCCACATACCTTTTACATTTTTGATGAGGCAACAAAATATCTTTCATATGTTTTATGATTCATGTTCTTTTGTTAAATCAAAATAGTTATTAATTCAAAGAAACTACTGTTTATTCAACTGCAGATACTTACTGATTCTTGGAGGGAAAAACATATATGTTTATGTATGTGTATTTATGTTTCTGTTTAACCACTGACTACTTGCCTGGTTAATCAGATATTCTTTCTCTGGTCCTTGTTTCGAAATCTCTATCTCTTTAGGTTTGCACTGACATGATTATTGCAGATGGTAAAGTATTAGACCTTATGTTTTTGTGACTTCTGTTCACAATGAAACCTCTATAGTGCAGCCAATAAAAGAAGAAACTGGATGAAAGAGTAGATTTACTGACACTGAAAGACACTGCTTTACCCTTCTCTTTAAAAAAAAATCATAGAATAAATTGCACTCAATTATTATGGTCAAAATGCCAGTGAAGGCTTGACATCTACCAGTGCTTCTGGCTCCTCTTCTGGTGCCAGGATCAGGTTTGCTCAGGGTATGAACAGCCACAGATGCCTCCCAAGAGAATCTGTTATTGATGGATATGCTTGTCGCTGAGTTGTGTCTCAATTGATGTGTCTGGAAGAAGAGGCATATAATTTAATGAAAAATCCCATTATACATTGCATTTTAGATTGAGAGAGTTAGAGGTAATTTCTCATCCACTATGATATGGCCTGTCTTAGTCTTATTCAGACATTTTATAAGTCTTCTTAAATTGAAATTTGTTGACCTGTAATTTAATAGCTAGTAAGCACCATTTATGAGGAGTTATCTTATGATGCTATGTTAGTCAGCTCAGACTGCTATAACAGAATACCGCATGCTAGATGGTTTGAGCAACAGAAATTTATTTCTCATAGTTCTGGAGGCTGGAAGTTCCAGATAAGGTGTGATAAGGATTGGTGGCTAGTGAGGGCCCTCTTCCTGGTATGCAGAGCGGCCTTCTCACTGCAGTCTTCACGTGGTCTTCCCTCTGAGCATGTGCGTGGAGAGGGAGAAATCTCTCTCTTGCTCTTCCTCTCCTTATAATGCCACCAACCCTATCAGTTTAAGACTCTTAACCTTATGACCTTATTTTACGTTAATTACCTTCCAAAGGCCTTATCTTCAAATACAGCCATGTTAGGGATTAGAGCAGATGCCAAAAAAAAAAAAAAAAAAAGAAAAAGAAAAGAAAATAGAAAAGGATACAATTTGACCAAGGCAAAAAAAAAAAAAAGAAAGTAGCCTAAGGGGTCTCGTCAGTGAGATAACCATGAGTTATTTAATAGTAAGAACTGGTTACCCATCTGGATCTGTGGATTGTTCTGTAGATTACAGGGTTTGGAGGTCTTTTCTAAACCTAAAATTCAGTGTTTCTTGGTCATAGCTCATTTGGAGGGAATCTATTCCAGATGCCTGTGATGTTTTTCTTTCATTACTCATTCTTTGTTCCCCAGAGTACCCAGCAGAAAGCATAGTGGAAGAGCCCAGCTGGCCTAGGTTTGATTTCCACCTTCTCTACTTATCAGCTGCAAGCCTTTAATTAATTACTGTTCCTGTCTGAGACTGTTTTTTGTCTACAAAAACATTGATACTTACCTTGATGCAGATATTAATATCAGTGAGAATACATGCTGTGCTAGTGTATATATAATTAAAACAAAACACACTAACTTAAATATGAGAGAAATGATAGGAATTTATTTATTTCATACATATAATCTGGATGGAAGCAGATGAGAGCTAGTGGGAGACCTTTGATACCAGATACCATAGAAACTTCCATTTCCAGGCCAGTGGTGACTGCTTCAGTTTTCATTGTCTCCCTTCAATGGGAATGGAGAAAGGGTGAAAGGAATTCATTCACACTGACCTTTTAGGGGCACCATCCCCAAGTGGCACATATAAACTTTGCTCCCACCAGAGTTGTACCAACCAGGGAGGCTGGATGAGAGGCATATCTTTAGATATTGTTTTACTAGCAATGGTTCTTCTGCTTCAAATGATTCTCACAAAAATTGGAAATAATTCATTAATTCATTTACCTATACTGGACTGTGAAATATAACAAAGTGTTTAGCAAGGTGCCTTGCACATGGTAAATACCAAAAAGATGGAGTCACCCTTCTTACTTTTCCCTAATATCTTACTACTTGCATAGTGTGGTCCATGGTCTAACAGCATCAGCATCAACAGGGAGCTTTAGAAATGCAGAATTTCATCCCCAAGCCCAGACCTCAGTCTGCATTTTAATAGCTGGTGAAGCACTGAGCTGGCATGTTCTTTGTAAATCTTTAATTGCATCTGCTGGCCTCTGCTGGTGATGTTATCTTGATTGCTTACAATGCTGGTTGTTAGAATTAAATGAGATGATATGTATAAAATACTTTAAATCTGTGAAATGTTTTATAACAGCTGAACTCTGAACTTGGAAGTCTATGGTGAGAGGATAAACATGCATATGACGTAACTTTCCCTCAGCGACTTTCAACTGAGGAGATAAGCAGCTTTATCAGAGAGAATAGTAATAACCAACATTTATACTATTAAAGTATAAATAAAATAGGTGTTGCTGTGTTGTGCCCACATTTTTAAAAACATGCATATATATGGGTATTTAAAAGTAAATTGATCTGTATCATATTTATAACTATATTGCATAGGAACAAAAGAACAAAAATGGACTATACATAAAAATGTTAACAGTGATAAAAATTTAAATTATATTTATTTTTTATTTTTTACATATTCTTCAGTGGACACATATTGCTGACTTAACTATAAAAACACAGTAAACCTCCCAAGTATTTTTATGCACACTATCTCATCTGATTTTCACCATCACTCTGTGAGGTCAATAATGAACACTGATGTTATAGACAAGAGAAATGGAGGAGACAGCCAGACATGCAACTCAGACACTTAGGAAGTTAAGTGCAGTGAGATTACATGATACAGACAGTGTTGAACGGGTGGCAAAATGAGGAGCCAAATTAAGATCTCAAAAAGGAGAGAAAATGAATAGTGCTTGAATGAAAGGAAAATGTAAAGATTCTGGAACATAGCTTTAGGACAGTGCATGACATTTTATAGGAATCTGGCTCCTTACCTTGAGATAGGGTTCAGTTTGATCAGACTCAGGAACAGGGTACACAGTGGTTATGCTTGGGTTTGGGACCAGTGAGTCTGAGTTTGATTTTCAACTTTGCCACTGCCTAGCTATTTAACCTAGGTAGTTATTCACAGACTTCGGGCCTCCACTTACCTATCTATAAAATAAGAAAAATACTAGTAGCTACTTTAAGGATTAAATGAGTTAATATGTGCAGGAGCCTTTAAAAGTATATAGGACATAAGGAGGGCCCAGCAGACTTTAGCCACCTGAAGCTAATTGTCCTCATTCCTATGATACAGGGCTGATGAAGATGTTGGCAGATTAATCATAAGAAACATGTATATGTATATCAAATGTATATAGATGTATATCAAAAAGTGCTGACAGCTGTAGATAAGGCATGGAAAAGAATTATAACATTAGTGCTTATTTGGAAATTATTTTGAAACTCTAAGGAAGTTCATGCTGGTCTTATCGGATAATTCGGCTGTCTCTGTGAATTCATACCAACCCCTCCCTGATTATTACAAATGTTTGGAATCTGTGTGTACACTTAGATTTTCCTGCTTAATTATACTGTATCATAAGGCAAGTAATTGCCCTCAAATGAAGAATAATTGTTTTGTCGTAAAAAGACCTTGACCACAGGTCAGGATTTGGCATGTGCTGTGAAGGTTGTTCTGAGGTGTGCTTCTGAGGTAAGAAGTATGCCTGCCTATTGCTGAATCCTGGTAAAGGCATGAATAATGTTGCTTGATAAAGATTGAGTTTGAGGAGTTTCAGGGCAGTTTATACTGTCATCAGTGTTTATAGATAAGAGTGAGATGGAGGATTTACATCTGGTTTCTGTGAGGGCAATAGGGCCTTGATTCTGAACTTCACTAAGTTCAGAATTTACATCTGGTTTCTGTGAGACCCCTGCAGGGCCCTGCTGTTGAGGCTGGTTACGTAGCAGGAATATATCTAAGTGACCAGCAAAAGAGAGAACACACCAGCTGGGACTGCATCCCAGAAGCAGCCTAGAATACTACCAGTTGAGTTTAGATTACCAAAAGAGAATATACTGTATGATACTAGTTGTTTTAATATCTTATGCCTAGCTGTTTTAAAGTTCTTCAATTCTCACACAGGTAAATTATTGAAATCCCAAAATACTGGGGCAAGAGCCTATCGTAAACCTTTTTTGTCCTCTTATCCACTTTCTAAAATATGTGAAATATTTCTTTGTCATTTTTTTCAGACCCCCTGGTTGTGGAATACGAGGCACTGCTGGTACAACTACCCCTATCAGGTAAGGAGGCATTATTGTTTGGGTTTTTACACACATGGAGTGTCTACCTTAGGTCAATTTCATGGTCTCAGGCAGGCCCCAACAGGTTGGGCACCCACCTTCATTTTTGGCTCCACTCACACTGATAAGTGCTGGATGTATTCTAGTGAGCATAGTAATTTGTGCATTATTCTTAGTGAAGTTCAGAATCAAGGCCCTATTGTCCTAGCAGATGGAGTCAGCTTGGAAAGTACATTTGCAAGGGAATAGGATCAACCAGTTCAACAGGTGGAAATTCCTGCTCCTAATAGCTGATCTGCTTCTAATCACTGAGACTGGAGTCCTGTTGATATAGCACAGACCTGCCCCAACAGCAAATGGGAAAGCTCAAGTGTGAGGCTGGAGCAGGTACACTGAGTTCAGTTCACTTTGTGGCTTAGAAGAAGCCTCCAAATATGTAAATCAAGCACCATTTCCTTGAGTGCAGAAAAATGGGCTTGTACTAATGACACGTGGAAGGATGACTTCTGCAACTAAAAACAGCATCATTGAAAGTGAGATTAAAATCATATCCCAGAAAGGAAGCATTTTAGATCTCTGCCCACTGGCATACTTTTACATCTTTCCATGAATTCAGTGATATTAGCTTGTGTTGTTGTGGTTCCAAGATTAGTTAATATTTGAATATCAAAGCTGGGACTTGTCTAAAAGTTTCTAGCTGAGAAATTTCTGTAACTCCATGTTTAGTTGGGATATGTTATGTAAGAGAAGCAAATGCAGCTAGGCATTTTGGTGACAAAATGAAGAGACATATAACACATAATAAGCAACTTCAGTTTTTTTGTTTGGAGTTTGTTTGGGTTCTATCTTGGGGTGTTTGGTCTTTGGGGATTACATAGGCTTTTGGGGAACAGGCCTACCCTGTGTCCTCTGTTACACACAGTGTCATGCCAGAGGGTGGGGACTGGCACTGGATACTTCTTAAGCTAGTTCGTGTTAAGGACACATTGAAATGGAACTCCAGGTTGCATTTTTATCTCTTTCGAGTGGTTTATTCACATTAGAAAAGATTATAAATAAGCAATAGAACATGACAAGAGAGCTGAGCATTCAGAGGATATTTGATAGAGACTAAAACAGTGTTGAAACCAATAGTTTATAACTATAATTTAGTCCAGAATAACTTTCATGTTCATGGCTGGAGCTGAGAAATTGCTTATTTCTGAGAAAATGAGTTGCTAGAGCTTCAGAGGGTTTCACGGGTAGCACTGTAGATTCAACGTGAAAGTCTGAGGGTCTGGTGGATAGTTATGTTTTTCAAAAGAGGAAACACGGCTAGTATGAAAGGCAAGATGCTATCTGTGAGGACTCAGATCAAGATTGTCTTCTGTGTAATTCAGCATATAGCCCCCAACATGTAGGACAAACTCACAGTCTCTCATGGGAACGGTGGCCATCTTTGAAAATGCCATATAGTAATAAAGAATATTAGCTGATTTCTTTGTGTATGGGGGGGAATTAAACAGCATACAATTATTGTGTATGTAATTATAGTACTTTGTGTGTAAGCATGCCAATGTAAATATACAGATTGCTGTTCCAAGTCAGTCTCAGCCTTAAAGGTACTTTTAAAGACCGAGCATGCTTATGAAGCATATTTATTATGTCTTTAGTGTATGTGTTAAATAAATCATTGAACAGACTTTTAGATGAAAAAGTAGTGGTCTACTTCAGTTTTATTAAGGACACACTTATTATATATAAATATGTATATTATTTGTAACATATTAAATAATTTCATATGCCTGTGTATATTTTAAGGTTAAAATAATGTGAAGTTGCATTCAGTTGAACTTTATATAGCTTGCAATAAGAAGCACAAGTTGGACATGAGATACCCTAGTTGGTGGTCATCGGACCTCGCTAGCTCTGAGACCTAGGCTTAGCCTCTTAACCTGAATTAACCGACAGCAATTTTCTGTCAACTATACAATCTAGGTCTAGAATTATAGCACTAATTTTATGGGATTTTTATGAGAACCAAAGAAATTAACATGTGAGTGAGCATTGTCAACTGCAGAGCACTCCCCAGATGTAGTAATTATTATAATGGGATGCTCTCCATGAACTCTGCAGCTTCCAGATGTACTCTAACTTGCCCTTGTAATTCCTCTGGGGCCTTTCCGCAGGTGGTCATGTGGAAGTAACAGAATCTCATTAAAACTAAAATTTACCCTTGGCTCAAAGGGTCCTGAGCCAGGGCTTGATTTTCTAAACTTCATTGCAGCCATCCATCTGCCCTGAATATCCATCCTTCATCGTTAATGCCTTCAAGTTTTAAAAGGACAGTTCATGGGAAATGTATTCTCTCCAGTTTGTCTCAGTTCAGGCTGCTGCAAGAGAATACCCTCAGAGATCATGTCCCTTCTTATAAGGGCACTAACCCCATTCATGAGGGCTCCACTCTGATGACCTAATTACCTTCCAAAGGCCCTGCCTCCATATACCATCACATTGGGATAAGGCTTCATCTATGAATATTGGGAGGACACAAACTTCAATCCACAGCAGTGCTCATCATTTAGACTTCAGGATTGCTGGTTGGAATATCCTGCCCCATTGTGTATTTTGTTGTCAAAGATCGATGTGGGACAACTTTTCCATGATTCCCATGCTTGGAGTTGGTGAGTGCCAGCTTCTCCTAATAGTCATTCATTATGCTGCTATTGGTGTACAAAACATTTATATTTCAATTATATTTACTATATATGGTATTGTCTTGTATGTAAGGGTATGTACTTGTGTGATGAGTTTCAAAGGTTTTTCACTCATTTCAATAAAGCAAGACATTTCAGTACAACTCAATGTAACAATTAAAAACAACTCATTGAAAATATTTTTTGAAAACTCTTGTTTTTAGTGAGATTATGTGCAAAATAAATATTCTTGACTTCCGCTGCCTCTCTGAGTGTCCCCTCAACCCTGAGCCTCTGAAGCAGTTAAAGCAGGTATCACTTCCATTTTACAAATAAGTAAACTAAGACCCAAGTTTTATACCTGCTAAGCTGTGGATCTGAGATATGATCTGATATCCTGGCTGGGTGCCTAGTCTGGCATCTTCTGGCAGCCTTCCTATCCCTCTGATCTTTTAATAAATATTTTTGAAAAATTATCTTTGATATTTGAAATGTGCTGAACATTTTCTAATAACAAAAAAAAAGCTTTCTGATTAATGCAGAACTTGAAACTGTGCCTCAGTGACCCATACGGTGCTCCAGTTCCTGTCACCTACCTTCTTGTCCCTATACTCATAGCAGTTGTCCAGGGTTATTCTTTGTATTTGAATTTGTTTTTCAGGTTGCTTAAGGAATCTTGCAGATACTCGTGACAAAGAATCATAAATACTATTGTTAAACTGAGTCTCAAATGTTCATGCTAATTAATGCTTTTTAAGTTGGAGATGAAATGAGAGTAATATCATCAACCTGTGGATGAAAGTTATCCTCAAAGCCCCATCATCTACAAAGAGAATAGGGCAGGAACTGCCTTTGTGCAGGTGCAAGACCATGTTACTTTTGAGCAGTGAGCTTGAGATGTCTGGGATACAAACTGGGTTCCCTATTAACTATTAATCTTTCCTTTTTTTTTTTTTTTTTTTACCTTCAGCCACTCACAACTGACCTTCACTACTATTACATCTTGGAGCTGTCATTTTATTGGTCTTTAATGTTTTCACAGTTCACTGATATCAAAAGAAAGGTAAGAGCAGTTATGTCATAAAGTCCTTGCAAACGTGCATCTTTAATGGCCCTTAGCAGGTGCATGTAGACTCTCAAAGGCAGTCACCTTTGTTCTCCTGGCAGCCCTAGATTAGTACTACCTGCTGCATTATTACAGAAAGTTATCTATTTTTGTTTGTGCTGTTTTATATTTTGTTTCTATTGTTTCTTCACTCTTCCCCTAAAACTCAGCATTCTTTTCTCCATGTAATAATACAGCAGTGAATCCCCATAGCAGTAATTTTCTCTCAGTCTAATTCCCAAGTCCCTCTGTTCTCCAAATTAAATAAATAGTGTATTTGTAGCTCCTGGAAGAGAGCAAAATCTCCGTGTTTCAACCCTATGGAATTAATTCCCCAGTTGCAGGGTTATCCAGTATCAAAATACGTCTCAGAAATGCAGTGTTCCTGAGTGAACTGTGATCTGGTTTCCACCTGTCCCCTCCACTGGAATCGCTTTTGTATGACCCCCTATGTGTTAAATCCACTTATTCTGGCTTCCATCCTACTAGCTTCTGGACAGAATCGGCAGTTCTGGCTCTTTACTGCTTATTTTTCCCTGACACCATATTTGAATCAATCCTTCAAAGTCTTCTTGCTGTCCTTTGTCTTAATGCCCCATACTCTACGTATTTGGATGCCCCAGAGTTCTGGACCTGAATTACAGGATGCCATCTCCTTGGATGATAGAGTTTATACTTCCTGACACTTCCAACCATAACCTTCATACCATTAATTTTGAAATGTTTCCCTTCTGCCCCATGTTCTCTCTGGGTCCATACTTCCACATCTGTAGTCACAGATGATAGGACTGGTTAAATATCCCTAAATCTGAAAATCCAAAATTCTCTGAAATTTCATACTTCCTTAGTGCTAACATGGTACCCAAAGTAAATTCTCATTGGAGCATTTTGCATTTCAGATGTTTATATTAGGGATGCAAAGCTGTAAGTATAATGCAAACATTCGAGAATCCAGAGAAATCCAAAGTTCAAAACACTTCTAATCCCAAGCATTTGGGTAAGGGAAACTCAACATATATTGTGTTACTTTCGTACATTATATCATTTAGTCCTGACAGTAACTCAAAAGTCCAGTTTATTGTATTATTTATACTTATTTTATGAATGAGGAAACTAAGCCTTACATATATAGTGCGCCTGACTGAAGACATGGACTTCCACTCTTGTTCTTTCTCCAGTAACCATTATAACCAACAGTCATGTTACCCAAGACATTTTCCTTTGCCTTCTTTTTTTGCCACTACTTGTACCTGCTTCCTTAATATCACTGACACACGTAGAGTTCCCTCTCCTTTTGCCCACTCTATTAAACTACCATTTAAGAGACTGCTGTGAACTGTGATCTGGTTTCCACCTGTCCCAGATGAAAGTAGTCATTCTTGTCTGTCTGCTGCCTAAGAGTTATATTTCTAAAACCTTCAAGACAAAGCTCAAGTACTTGGAGGATAAAACACACTTTTATCCTCTTAGTCCAATTGAGCTAATATAACAAAATGCCAGACTGACTGAGTAGCTTATAAAATCGATTTCTCATAGTTCTGGAAATTGGGATGTCCATGATCAGGGCACCAGTAGATTTAATGTCTGGCATTGGCTCACTTTCTCACAGATGACAACCTTCTCAATGTATCCTCACATGGTGGAAGGGGCAAGACAGCTCTATGAGACCTTCTTTATAATGGCACGAATCCCATTCACAGGGGCTTCTGCCAAAAGGCCCCATGTCCTAATACTATCACATTGGAAGTTAGAGTTTCAATATATATATATTTGAGGGGGACACAAGCATTTAGTCTGCAGCAGGCAAGATACGTTCATCTTTGCACCCCCGTGACTATCAGTGTAGCTGCTCATGGTGAGCATCAGTAAGTTGAGGGCAATTGAATAAGCAAACTCAGTTCCTTTACATTATGATGCACAACAGTACCGCAGTGTATCATTTCTTGGTTAGACCAGTCCTCTGCTAAGTTGCAAACTGGTATCCAAGTGGCAGCTGAAAAGCATTTAGGAGTCTATGGGCCTACTACCTGAGCCCCCCTTACCATGTATGCTCCTTCCACCATCCTACCGCAGTGGCTTACTTGGCTGGCAAAAAGCTGTCTTTTCTGACTTGTATGGCTACAAGGCCCTTCACATGGTATAAACCAACTGATTCTCAGAAGAAATAGATGGTCCCTATCAAAGTGAGCTTGGACATAACAGATGACTCTTTGACACCCATAATTTGTGATTCCCTCACTCATTGTACCCAATACTCTGGGTTGGTTTCTGAAATCATTTAAAGACTCTTTAGTGATGGCATGCCAGGTGGGTCTCTTCTGTCCTACATGAGGGTGCCTTCTTTGCTCATGCAGTGTCAACACTGATTGACACTGATTATTTTCTATGTGCCAGATACTGTGCTAGGCTCATACTGTATTTTATTTTCTTTTTTTGAGGAGACCTTTTATCTAGGTAGTCACATAAAACACTTATATAACAAAGAGAGAGCTAGAACATTCTTCCTTTTTTTTGACTTAAAAATTGAGGCACAGAGTGAGTTTATATAAGCTTCTCAAGGCCATGCAATGTAGGAATGAATTAGAGGCTAGGCTTACCAAGCAGAGCCCTTTGATTTACGCTTAGATTAGACATGTTCACAATCCTTGCCTTGCCACGCTCCTGACATTACAGGTAGTAAGCCTTTCACAGCTCTTTGCCATTTTATTGGTTCTTCTCTTGCTTAGTGACAACTAGAGGTGCCATTCAGAGTCAAAAAAACAGGAATAGCTGTCGTTGGCTTCCAGAAGCCTAGTCCTAGTAAGACATTGCTATACCAAAAGGTACCAAGTCCCTCCACTAGCTCGAGCTTTCTCATCACAAGTGGAACATGGCTTTTCAGTGAGCCAGCAGGGCTCAGGAAGTCTTTATTGCTGTATCAGTTTGTTCTCCCACTGCTGTAAAGAAATAGCTATGGCTGAGCATGGTGGCTCACACCTATAATCCCATCACATTGGGAGGCTGAGGCAGGTGGGTTGATTGCTTGAGTTCATGTGTTCAAGACCAGCCTGGGCAACATAGCAAAACCCTATCTCTACAAAAAATATAAAATTTAGCCAGGTGTGGTATTGTGTACCAAGTGAGCCAAAATGGCACCACTGCACTCCAGCCTGGGTCATAGAACCAGACCTTGTCTCAAAGGAAAAAAAAAAATAGTTGAGACTAGGTAATTTGTAAAGAAAAATAGTTTAATTGGCTCATGGTTCCATCAGCTGTGCAGGAAGCATGATGCTGGGATCTGCTTGGTTTCTGGGGAGGTCACAGGAAACTTATAATCATGGCAGAAGGTAAAGGAGAGGCATGGCATGTCTTACATGGTAGAGCAGAAGCGAAAGAGAGAGAGAGGTTCCACAGACCTTTGAACAATTAGATCTCATAAGAACTCACTATCTTGATGACAGCACCAGTTGGGGATGGTGTTAAACCATGAGAAGCCACATCCAGGATCTAGTCACCTCTCACCAGGCCCATTCATATTTGGGGATTACATTTCAACATGAGATTTGGGAGGGGACACAGATCCAAACCATATCAGTTGCTTTCAGCCAAATGACCGTTATCTCAATAATTTTCATAGGTGAATTATTCTGGGGGACCAAAGTGTATCATTCTATATTACTTTAACATATATAGTATCAGTGAAAAACACCTGTTAAAGGGATAATTTTATAGTAACGTCTGTGGAATTGATCTGTATATATAGGCCAATATATAGGCTTATATATATTGTCAGTGTTTAGAAATCAATTGTATATTTTTTCCTAGTCAACACGTATAGCTTGTTTTAGATAGCTATCACCTCTGCCTTCTGCTGGTCAGATTACATTTGTGGATTCCTGATACAGCTGGTTTATTCTCGTTTCTTGCACAAAATGGGAATTTGGCCACTACCAGACATGCTTATTCCTTGGCACAGGTTTTAATTAGGAAGGCCCTTTCCTCTGCTGCCATCTCTCATTAGGGAGCCACAGTGCTTGCTTTTCCCCTTCGCATCTTGCTGAATGGCCCCATGGGTCCTTGGCAGTTCTGTCCTCATTAAACTCCTACTTGGAGGACCTGCTGTTCTGGCCATCAGTGAGGATTTATGGCATGTTCTGTCTGCCAGATGCACTCTCCACCTTCTGTATTGGAACTATTAACTGAACCTTCTAAAAACAGCTTGCTTCCTTATTATGGAATAGGGATGTTTGAAGACACTCATTGGCAATACAGTATAGAAATCAACTTTGGAAGACTGTTAATAGAAGGGTTATCAAAATGTTTATTTGGCTCCCATATTAGATGACAGTGAGTGTCAATGGCCATTTACAAACAGGTACCAGGATTTATAAACACTGGATCTCAATGCCTGCCTCAAACTTTTAGAATTAGTACTTTTAATAGGTTTATGAATCACTTATTTTGATTTTTAATGGGTTCACAAATCTTTCCAAAATGGCTTTTGTATCCATAAACCCTTCTTTTTGGCCTCTTTCTTTAAAAAATCGCTCTATTTCCACATAGAATCTGAAGTTTTAAAATGAGGGGAGAACTTTTCATCTTCATGGTGACAGAGCACATTGCCTCTCCTTTCATCATTTCCAGAGTTGGGATTTACTTGGTCAGTGATGAGAAATATTATTAATTTTCCCAGAGGGAAGATTAGATGAAAAATAAAAGATGTTTAAAACATCTTTTATTTCCCAAGGCTTAGTTTTTGTTAAAATTTTTGTCCTTTAGCACCTGTTCCCAATGAACATTTCTCCTGCCATCTAAAATTTCCAAAGGAAGCTAATAAATATTTTTGTGTTGGAGCTCGGAACAACTTGCTTATGTCTAAACCCTATGTCCCTTTTAACTAAGCTGCTGTTTGGCTTGAAGGCCTGGGCCCTTGGCCAATGAGTTCTGCCTGTGTTCAGAGTCCTTCTTAGGAAAGCATC